AACTGAAAATATGGATGGAGGACAACAGAGCTGCTTCATGGAAGAAGAACCTCAGCTTAGCCTGTTAGCCTTTGTGCTAGTGCTGATGCTATATTGCCTTATTTGTATTAGCTCAGCACTAGCGCGACAAACCAGGTCCTCCATCCATATTGTCAGTTGCAGACAGTCATTTTTGTGTTCCCCACTCTGTCATGTGGATGGAGGACCTCAATGACGAGAGGAGAATGTGTAGCGCTGAGCTAATACATATACATATGTGGTGATAGCATCAGGGCTAACGCAAAAGCTAACAGGCTGAGCTGAGGTTCTTCTTCCATGAAGCAGCTCTGTTATCCTCCATCTATATTTTCAGTTACAGACTGAGTCATTTCTACCATCTCCTCTCTGTCAACTCTCTCTGGTTTCATTTAAGAGTCGACCACCAGATACTGTCCAAGATTAACCTTCAGGGTGGATATAGCTCGCTATCAGCATCGCACCGATGACCTAGTTGATGTCATCATTTACCCAGAATGCTTTGTGTGTAAATAAAATGGCCCCGTCCATGTAATATATTTTTAAACTTTTAGTTTAAAAATGATAAAAACTGAACATCCTTCAGTATTTTTACAGTTAAAATATATGTTTATTAAATAAAGTCTAATGTTACAACTAATCGGGGATCCCTTTCACAAATGACAGTAACAAGCTCTGCCCATCACCTAAATATTTTGTGAAATGTATCAGCTAAACATCTAAGATCTCAACTAATTTCTAAATAGAAGCTTATATTAATATCTACCTTCCTTTCATAGAGACTATAGGAAGTAATTAATAGCACTAGGGGATAGGGTGTGTATGTGTTTGGGTGGGGGGTCTCACATAGGATCTCCATTGCGGATGTGTTTGCAGGCCGTCTGGATGACTGATTCACAGGCCTCATTCAGAGCACGGTCAATTCTATAGTCGGCTCCAGGGTCAGCTTCTTGGATCAGTGTCTGGAGCTGTAAACACAAAAAAATTACATTACATTATATATATAAAAAAACTTTTAAACTAAAGAAGACCAAGATAGCTCCCTTTACCTCCTGAAACAAATACAAACTAGAAATGCTAAAAAAATGAACTAAATGCATAACACATTTGAAAAATAAAACACAGCAACATGAAAAATATCATCCGTTATTACAGATGAAACTGAAATAAAAAGAGCAGACCTACAGAACGGTATAAAAGAAAGGTCTGCAGTTTTTCCTACAAAGACTTCTGAGGTGGTGGTTTCTTACAGCATTCTGACACTTGACGTCAATGGCTCCCATGTCTCCTCGACCGACTCTCATCAGACAGTGCAGAGTCCGACCTTTCCGGTGCAAACCGGAGCAGTGAAGCTCAATCTCACTGCGACAGTGCAGCACAATCTCAGGACTCAGAGAGAAATCTTCCATCAGCATCCGCCTGTAATCCATCATCTCACCCTGACACTCTCCACTGACCAAACGACCTGAAACAGGTTTCAGGAAACAAGGAGGCTCAGAAATAGAAAAAATCCTGATAAACGAGTTAAATAAACAGCAGAAAAACTGAGAACATTTGTGTTTAGTTTAATATTTCTTTGTTGTAACAATGCTTCTTGGCAATTAATCTGATAACATAGCAAAGCCATTTTTTTGCAACGGAGCCTAATTTGTAAAGAAAACGCTCTATGGGTTGAGCCCATGAACATTATTCTGCTATTAACTACAGGTGCTGGTCATAAAATTAGAATATCATGAAAAAGTAGATTTATTTCAGTAATTCCATTTAAAAAGTGAAACTTGTATATTATATTCATACATTACATACAAACTCATATATTTCAAATGTTTATTTCGTTTAATTTTGATGACTACAAATGACAACAAATGAAAATCTCAAATTCAGCATATCAGAAAATTAGAATCTTGTGAAAAGGTTCAAAATGGATGGCACCTGGTACCACACTCTAATCAGCTAATTAACTCAAACCACCTGCAAAGGCCTTTAAATGGTCTTTCAGTCTAGTTCTATAGGCTACACAATCATGGGGAAGACTGCTGACTGGACAGTTGTCCAAAAGACGACCATCGACACCTTGCACAAGGAGGGCAAGACACAAAAGGTCATCGCTAAAGAGGCTGGCTGTTCACAGAGCTCTGTGTCCAAGCACATTAATAGAGAGGCGAAGGGAAGGAAAAGATGTGGTCGAAAAAAATGTACAAGCAAGAGAGATAACYGCACCCTGGAGAGGATTGTGAAACAAAACCCATTCAAAAATGTGGGGGAGATTCACAGAGWGGWCTGCAGCTGGAGTGAGTGCTTCAAGAACCACCACACACAGACGTATGAAAGACATGGGTTTCTGCTGTCGCATTCCTTGTGTCAAGCCACTCTTGAACCACAGACAGCGTCAGAAGCGTCTTGCCTGGGCTACAGAGAAACAGGACTGGACTGCTGGTGAGTGGTCCAAAGTCATGTTCTCTGATGAAAGTAAATTTTGCATTTCCTTTGGAAATCAAGGTCCCAGAGTCTGGAGGAAAAGAAGAGAGGCACTTCATCCACGTTGCTTGAAGTCCAGTGTAAAGTTTCCACAGTCAGTGATGGTTTGGGGTGCCATGTCATCTGCTGGTGTTGGTCCATTGTGTTTTCTGAGGTCCAGGGTCAACGCAGCCACATACCAGGAAGTTTTAGAGCACTTCATGCTTCCTGCTGCTGACCAACTTTTTGGAGATGCAGATTTCATTTTCCAACAGGACTTGGCACCTGCACACAGTGCCAAAGCTACCAGTACCTGGTTGAAGGAYCATGGTATCCCTGTTCTTAATTGGCCAGCAAACTCTCCTGACCTTAACCCCATAGAAAATCTATGGGGTATTGTGAAGAAGAAGATGCAATACACCAGACCCAACAATTCAGAAGAGCTAAAARCCACTATTAAAGCAACCTGGGCTATCATAACACCTGAGCAGTGCCACAGACTGATCGACTCCATGCCACGCCGCATTGCTGCAGTAATACAGGCCAAAGGAGCCCCAACTAAATACTGAGTGCTGTACATGCTCATACTTTTCATGTTCATACTTTTCAGTTGGCCAACATTTCTATAAATCCTTTGTTTTTATTGGTCTTCAGTAATATTCTAATTTTCTGATATGCTGAATTTGAGATTTTCATTTGTTGTCATTTGTAATCATCAAAATTAAACGAAATACATTTGAAATATATGAGTTTGTATGTAATGTATGAATATAATATACAAGTTTCACTTTTTAAATGGAATTACTGAAATAAATCAACTTTTTCATGATATTCTAATTTTATGACCAGCACCTGTATTGTTTGGAGCTTCTGATTCTCAGCACACGTGAGAATGAAATAAAAAGGCTTCAACTACCTGCAGAGCCTGCAAAGTGACAAGCATAAACACAGCTAAAAGCTAACATCTGAGCTAACCTAAGCGACAAAGCTGGTGAGCAAAATGAGGAGGTGGTGCCAGGCTGTTGTGGCTGTGTAGGGTTCTTCCACATGCTGCAGAGCCACCGTTTGTACAAGGAATAAATGATGAAACTGTTTGTTTCTTCAGACTTCAATCAACCAATCCAATAAACATCAAATGAGTCAATAGCAGGAAGTTCTGAAAAGAAGATTTGGCAAGTTTGTCTTGGGCCACAAACCCAACTGTGCTTCTCAAACCACAGATTAACTTTTCTTATAAAACCCTTTAAATAAAAACAAACAAGTTTTCCTACTGGCACAGTAAAAGGTTTACTCCCCAGCAGCATAGGTACAACAAAGAAATAATTAAACAAACAAGTTTTCTTACCTTTTTTTCTAAGTTGAGACATTTTTGAACACATAATAATTTTAAACTTTATAAATGATTAAATAAAAATAAGCACGGCTTTTGCTCCCAAGTCAAGCTGTGTGCAGAGCAGTGGTTTACCTCGATGCACCGCAGCCTCCAGACATAGCAGCAGGTAGGATAGACGGGTCTCTCGGGCTCGAGGCATGTTGCTGTCCACGCTGCAGTGGTACTTCCTCAGATCAGACTTGCAGGCTTTAGCCAGCGAGTAGCTCACCTTGTAGTCCTGAGCAATCAGCTTCTGCCTGGTGGTCAGCGCTTCACGGCACTGATGACAAACACACCATCAGCACCACACACTTTGTTTAAAGTCTGCAACAATGATTTAAGGTGTAATATGAAAACATTTCTCTCTTTAACCAAAGAGGAGACTAAGAGTAATGCTTTGGTTGTGGTGTACAGATGAACGCACACTGGAACCTTGGTTTCTTATTGTGGATTTAAAAAATAGACTCATACATGAAAACACACAGAATAAGCAGGAAAAAAATCTAAAGGACCTAAGCCTTTTTAAAATATTTAGACTTTGACCCAGTTTTCACACAAATAGTCTTTGAAAACTAGACTTTCCAGATTTTTATATTTCAACCAACAACGGGTGCAGACACTTCAGTCTCGACTCGAGCATGAAAACAGCTACAAGCCCGTTCAGAACTTGTAGATTGTGAGAAGTGACGGTGTAGCACTATGTTTCATGTCAGGAACTCTGAAAAATATAAGAGTGAGCAACACAAACAGTCCTTAATGTTACTGTTGTTCTATCCACACAGAAAAACTATCAACTGCAGCTGTTCGTGATGTGCTTGTCGCACCATGCCAAACCTTTCCAAGAACTTCCACTGAGACCTGGAATCAAAAGGTTTTGGAGATCGCTGGACACAGGACATTATACTGAGATTTTGTAAAGTGCTGAAAAATGTTAACGTTTTCTGATTTCTATCACAATTAGTTTATGTGGACTTTGTCGCCATTATAACGCTCCAAGGAGGTGCCCCAGTTTCCATTTTCCAGGTGAGGTTTCCTGGAGCTGTTGCTGAATTTGTTCACAAGTGATGGTAGTGAAGAAATTTATTGGGATTCTGTTAGTCACTGATGTTATAAAAAAGCACTACACATTAGGAATGTGCGAAATAGCTAAAAATTCATATCACAATATAAAACGTATAACAGAAAATAAATACATCACACATTGAGTGGAATAAATATGTATAGGTAGGTAAAAAAAATTTAGACCTTAAAATCTCCTTTTTTAAGGGACACTTTAAAGTCTCCCATAAAAATCTAAATTTAAGGGAGATCTACCTGGTTAAATCATCTCATATATATATAT